TCGAGAAACATCAGCTAAAACAAAAACAAAAACCGAGAGTCATTCTCGACGTCGCCCCCTCCCTCATTCCCTACATCTGATCCATCACCAAGTCTGGTCCATTGTGCGTCCTAAATATTTCAAATCTGTCACCTCTTCTCCATCCCACGACGGTGTCCCTGGTCTGAGCCAGCACCACCATCTCTCGCCCAGACGCTGCCACCACCTCCTCCCTGGACCCTGCTTCCGGTCCTGCACATCCGCAGTTTGTTCTTTAAGCCGCAAGCAGAGTGAGTGATCTCCTTAAAAATGCAAATTTGATCACATCTCCTCTGCCAAAGACCCTCTGATGACTTCCCGTTGCTCTCGAGCCAAAATCTACACTCAAGCCCCTTCGTAAGTGGCCTCTCCCCACCACACGCTGTGCTCTGGCCCCCTGGAATTTCAGGCCCTTGAATGTGGCTTTGTACATTCTGTTACCTGTGCCTGGGTATGTCTCTCTCATTCGCTAGGTTTCAGCTCAAAAACTCCTTTCTCAGGGACCTGGCCATCACTGGCCCCACCCAGCCACCCCAGGAGGCTGTGTCCCCTGCTAAGTGTGGGGGTCCCCTGCACTCTTTCTTTCTGGGACTTGACCCTGTTGGTAATTGCACATTTACTTGTGAGGTTATTGGATTAATGAAGATCTCCCCCTTGCACACACACGCACGCGTGTACACACACAGAACGGAAGGCCGTGGGGGCAGGGACTTGGATGTGCTTGCTGCTGCGTCTTCAGCCTCCAGCACCAGGCCTGGTAGACAGTAGGTGCTCAATAAATATTTGATGAACCAATAAACAGAACAAGCAGAAGGAAACGATGCCACAGAAGGGCAGTCTGGGGGAAGGCGGTGTGGCAGTAACCAGGCAGCCTCATCACGTGTCCTTCTGTCCATCCACCCATCCATCCACGCATTCTTCCATCCACCCACTCGCACATTCAGCCGCGCCCGCTCTGAGAACGGCACAGAGGTCTGAGCTCAGGGCAGAGAGCAGTCGTGGAGGTGCCCACAGCCGCAGGCAGTGTGTCGAGACCGAGGCAAGGGAGCACCCGTTTCTGAGCCATGGCTCAGAGGAGTGAGCTCGTGTCTGGGGGAGGAGGCAGGGAGACTGCATGGAGGAGAGGGCAATTGGGCCGGGCCCTGAGAAGTGGACCAGTGTTGACGTGGGGCAACATGGAGGAAGGGCATTCCTGGCAGAGGGAACAGCAGGAGCAAAGGCCCAGAGGCATGAAAGTAGTAAGCAGTGGGTGGTCCCAGCTGCCCAGGGAGATGGGCTCATGAAAAGATGCGGTGACAATAATGTAGAGGGGGCAGGTCCAGATCTGACAGGGCCTCGAGCAGCCACGTGTGTGGCGGCTAACGGTACAGGCTTTGGAGCCGACAGCTCAGAGTTCAAATCCTGGCTCCACGGCGCACTAGTTGTGTGACCTTGAGCAAGTCACATAACCTCTTTGTGCCTCAGTTTCCTCATCTGAAAAATGAGGGCAAATAACAGGACCCACCTCAAAGGATTGTGCGTGGGGACACTAAGCGTGAAAAACCCTTTATTACTCTGAGGGGGAACTAAAGAATGCCAGGCTCGAGTCTGGACTTTACCTTGAAGGTGAAGGGAGCTGGGGAAGGTTTTGAACAGGAGAGCCTTCCAGACTGAGCTGGGCTTCATGAAGACCCATCTGGCAGCATGCTTGCCATAGACTTGGGGGCAAGACTGGGGGCCCTTGGACCAGCCTTTGCAGATGGCGTGACCATGTATATGGAGTGCATATGGCCCCAGCTCTGCTCGTCTCCTCTTCCCTGACCTCCCACCTTTGCCTTCCTGGGTAATGGTCCAGCCACCAAGCCCAGAAGCTTTGACGTATGCTGACCCCACACACAAACACACTCAGGGATGTAAACAGCCCGCCCCAGCAACACACTGTTGAACTTACAGGACAAGTGCATCACCCCCAGGCCCCCCGGAAGAGCCCATGGGCTCATCCAGTCACTCCCTCCACACCTGCTGGGCACCTACGATGTGAAGGGAGCTATTGTAGGTGCTGGGATACAGTGCACACGTGTCCCGCCTCTGCACACGTCCTTAGTGATGCAGACGCACACGTGCTCATGACGTCGAGGCAGTAACTGGCCGGCTCGCTTGCTCATGGCTCCCCCGTGGCTTCCACCTGGGCCAGTGAGAGGTGAGCAGAGACAAGGCAGCTCTGCCCAGCACCCCGCTGCACCTCAGCGGCTCCCGCATTGCGCTGGCGTCCATTCCGGCCTGGAGGGAGAGCACCGGGCTGGTAGAAATCATTTCCCCCCAGGGATATGGCAGTAGCCAAGCTCAGAGAGCTCTGGGCTCAGGATCCAGCAGGCACAGTGCCCTTGGGACCCAGACGGGGCGGCTAGGAGCCAGCCTCCCAGGCACGGCTCCCACTGGCAGACCTGGGAGCCAGGTGGACAAGGAGAGAGGACACGCACGTGCCACGCCAGTGTGCAGGGCGGAGAGAGTGAATGAACAAATGCATTACCCTCCCCCAGGCACCAGCCTCGCCCTGGAGCGGGAGGCAATCACCCTGCATAAGGCTTCCCTCTTCGTGGAATGAGGTGCACTCATGGGCCTCATAGCAGTTGTTAACTAAACACATGAGTGAATAAATAGATCACTGGACGAACATCTATGGACCCCTGTTACCCAGTCAGGATACTTTTTTGTGTGTGTGTGTAGGGAAGATCAGCCCTGAGCTAACATCCATGCCAATCCTCCTCTTTTTGCTGAGGAAGACCGGCCCTAAGCTAACATCTATTGCCAATCCTCCTCCTTCTTTTTTTTCCCCCCAAAGCCCCAGTAGATAGTTGTATGTCATAGTTGCACATCCTTCTAGTTGCTGTATGTGGGACGCGGCCTCAGCATGGCCGGACAAGCAGTGCGTCAGTGCTCGCCCGGGATCCGAACCCGGGCCGCCAGTAGCGGAGTGCGTGCACTTAACCGCTAAGCCACGGGGCAGGCCCCCCAGTCAGGATACTTTGTACATAGTAGAGTTCTACCAGTTTTTGTCAACTGACCAGAAATAATAAGAGTCATTATCATTACTTTCGTGAACGTTTACTGCCAAACACTGTGGATCCCTTCACACGCATCATCTCATTTATTCCTCACGCTGGCCCTGGGAGGTAGGCACTATTATCCCCATTTTCTGGATGAGAAAACTGAGGCTCAGAGAAAAGGAGCAGGTTACCAAGGTCACACATACAGTAAAATAGTGGAACTGGGACTCAAACCCTGGTCTGACTTTGGACGCCCTGGTCTTAGGTCCTCTGAATGTTAAATTCTGCCCCATGGACAGGGGCTAGGAAGATTATCAGGAACTCTTGGGAGGGGGCAGGGGTGATAGCCCCAGTCTGTACCATGAAGTCTCCCCTGCTTTGTCCTGCCTGGAGGTCACTGTACCCAGCGCCTCATCTTGCTCTTGGCAGAGAGGGAGGCTGGGAAACAAATGTGGGGTGGGCAGGGTGAGAAGCCCTTCCTCTGTCCCTAGAGAGACAGCCAGATGACAAAGGAGGGCCTGGAGCAGCTGAGCTGGCAGTCATACAGCCTCGGCAGCAGTGGTGCCAGAGCATTGAGAAATCAAGAAAGGACGTGCTGGCCACCCAGCCCCAACTCTGGAAGGACACAGTGTGGGCAGTGGCAGTGATGCCCAGAGCATAGACGGGGCCACAGCAAATCAGCAAGGCTGGCAGCTCCTCAATGAGAGGGAAAGACATATAGCTCGAGCAGCTCCCAAAATCTGTCTGAGGCAAGACTCTCCTGAGTGCCCGCCAGGCCCCAGCTCTGTGCTTGGCTCTGTCAGGCGTGTGTGGGAAGGAAGCGGGAGGGATAGAAGAAGGAATAGGCATGGTCTCTGTCCTCCTAAAGCCTGCCATCACAGCTGACACCAAACCCCAGAGGAAGGCCCAGCCAGACAGGTCTGAGGGAGTTCAGAAGAGAGAGAATGAGATTCCAGAGGAATTGGGGGCTAGAACTGCATCTTCAAGGCCCAGAGTGGGTAAAGTCAGTGGTTCAACAACATCATCAAAGACACAGATTGTTCCATCTTTTCTTAGTAGGTCCCTTTGGCCTCTTGGAGTGGGTCGCCTCATTGTCCCCAAATAGCTGCTGTAGCTCCAGCCATCACCTCTTCACACATGCAGAAAACAAAAAGTTTCTCCTCAGGGCATCACTTTTTAAAGAGTTTAAAAAATTCCCAGAAGCTCTCCAGCAGTTATCCCTTTATATTTCATTGGCTAGATTTGTGTCACATGATACTTTCTAAACCAATCACTGGTGGGAAGAGGGGAATGGCTCTTATTGGTTTAGGCTAATCACTGTTCACAGGGAGGGGCTGAGCACATGGCCAAGCTGCGGGAGGGTGAATACTGAAACAAAATTGAAACAAGAAAAAAGGATAGAGGAATGAATGGGCTGTTAGCAGCCAGCCAATCTTTTGTATCTCCCATCATTCTCTTTTACACACCATAAAACCCAGCCAGCCTGCTGGGGTGGGGGGGATCTGGGGGAGCAGGCAAAAGGAATCTTCAAAATTCCCTAGAGGGGCTGTCACCCACCCACACATATGTCTCCGCCGACTCCTCTCCCAGTCTCTCTTGAACCCACTGCAGTCAAGTTTGCACAGCCATCGCTCCACCCAAAGAGCTTTCATCAAGGCCACTAAGGACCTCGGTGTTGCTAAGCCCAACGGTCAATTCAGAGTCCGCATCTGACTTGACCTATCAGGAGGGCGACCGTGTAATTTATCATCCAAACTGGGAGTAAAAGGCATGGTACACTATTAACAGTTATGCCAGGACAATAGATATAAAGTGGGACCGTCACAGGCAAAGCTGGACAGCCGATCACCCCGACAGAGCGTTCAACGCAGGTGACGACTCCCTTCTCCTTACGCACCGCCTTCTATTGGCTTCCGGGATATCTCCTGTCTCCTCGCCTCCCCTCCCCTTTCTCAGTCTCCTTCGCTGTTTCCCCCTCATCTCCCCGACCTCTGTATGTCGAGGTGCTGGACCTCTTCTCCACCTACACGCACCCCTTGGTGAGCTCATCTAGTCTCAGCTCTGAATACCATCCAAATTCCCAAACATATCTCTGCAGCCAGGACCTCACCCCGAGTGAGCTCCTGACTAGAGGGACAGTTGCCTGCTCGACATCTCCACTGCATGTCTAAGAGGCATTTGCATGTAACATGTCCAAAACGGGACTGAAACACGTTCAGATGAGTCCCTGGGGGAGTCATTTGACTGCTCCCCTAATCTGCTCTGTCCACAGCAGTCTTCAGCTCAGTGAAAGGAAGCCCCATCGTTCCTATTGCTCAGGCTGCAGGCACGGTCATGCTCGGTTCCTCTCTTTTGCACCCCATTTGTGACCCATCAGCATATCCCTCACTCCCCAGCACCTCCACTGCTCCCACTTGGTCTGAGCCACCTCCACTTCTAGTCTGGATTAATGAAGAAACCCCCAGGCTCTTCCCAGCCCACCTTCCCTCTATTTTGAACACAATAGCCAGCCAGAGTGATCTTTTATAACATAAATCAGATCGCGTCACTCCTCTGCTCAACCCTCCTAGGGGTCCCGTCTCACTCACAGTAAAACCCAAAGGAGACCCTGGAGGCTCTGATGTTCACCTCCATCTCTCTCTGACCTCATCTTCTGCTGCCCCCTGCACTCACTCCACTTCAGCAACACTGGACTCCTTGTTATTCCTCCTGCACACCAAACATGCACTGACCTCAGGGCCTTCACACTTGCTGTTCCCTCAGCCTGGAACAGCCATGTGCACAGCTCCCTCCTCCCTGCAATTCGGATCTCTGTTCAAATGCCATCTTAACTGTGAGGCCTTCCCTGACCACCTCGTGTAGATCCTCATTTATAATGGATGATTGAGAGAGAGAGAGCGAGAGCAAATCCCCCACCCAGCACATCCTGTGCCCCTCACTCTGCTTCGTTTTTCTCCATAGCACTTACCAGCATCTGACGTGTTATTTGTTTGTTTACTGTCTGTCCCCCACCTGCCTTGCAAGGATAGGGAATCCACCTGTTTATTTTCACTGTGCCTAGAACAGCACAGAGTGGAAACGCACAAGTTTCTGTGGGATGAATGGTTGAGCACCAGACGCACAGACGCACGCTGACGTCCGTGATGGCAGACACGCCCACACGCACATAGGAGCCATGTGCACGTACGTGGACCGGAGGGCACGTGGATTATAGGAGATGAGGCTGAAGAGTGGACAGGGGAAAGCCAACATTTACTGAGCCAGGCCGGAGCTCGGCCTTGAATCCCATTTGGGATTAAACATCTGTGCAGTAGGTCAAGACCTGTGGCCCAGAGAAGGCCACCACATGCCCAAGATCTCACGGTGAGTCTCAGCAGGGCCGAACGCAGCCCTGGGGCTCCACGGCTGCCTCCCCTGAAGACTCTGAATGCCGGGACAGGGGCTGTAGTTGACACCCACTCAGGGGCAGGAAAGGGAGGAAGGGAGGAGGCCGAAGTGTCCGCAGCATCCCTGCCGGGGCTGTGCAGAGCAGTGAAGAGTTGGCAGGAGGCCAGGGCACCTGGCCAACACACCCGAGGGAGGACCCAGTGGACTGGGGTATGAAGGTCCAGGGAGGGAGAGATGGGGGCTGTGAGGGCGCCCCCTCAAATGATAGCGCAGGATGTGCCCTGCTCAGGAGCGCCCAGCCAAGGGGACACGTAGGGGCTGAGGTGCAGCCACCCTCGTCCTGCCAAGCGTGCCCCCTGGCGCTGGGCTGCATCCACTCCAAGGGGTGTTTTTTTGCTTCCCTCAAATTGCCCTACACCGAGGGGAAGCCAAGCCCCGGTTCGAGGCCCCGCTCCGGCACCACGTGTCCTATGCAACTTTGGACAACGCTCTCGGCCTCTGCCCCTTTCTCAAGGGAGAGTTGACCTCAGGCCTTTGCCCCGGGCGGTCCTTCCACAGAGAGCTCCTTTTTCTCCCCGACGTCCCAAATTGCACGTGTCCAAATCCTGCCTGCGCTGTCACTTTGAGTGCCACCTTCTCTGTGATGCTGTCCCTGCTCTGCAGCCTGCAGAGCTTGGCTCTCTGAAGTCAAAAGACTGGCATCGTGAAACTCCCTCGCAGCCCCACACCATTTCCGTCTCCTGTGGTTTTTATTGTATAAGATTCCGCCAAGCGCTTCTCTGCACACTCAGAATAAAATGGAACCCACCTTCCCTCCTCCAGTCCTGCCTGATCTGGCTGTACCCGCCTCTCCTGCCTTGTCTCAGCCACCCCCTTGCTTTGCACCAGCCACAGCGGCCTCCTTACTGTTCCTCGGCTTGTTCCAGCCTCTGGACCTTTGCACATGCTGTTCCCTCGGTGTGGAAAACCATTTTGTGCCGGGCTCCTTTTCATCCTCCCAGATCACCCAAATGTCACCTCCTCTGAGAGGCCCTCCCTGATACCCTGTCTGTAGTAATATACCCACCCCAGCCCTTCCATCATTCTCTTCCTCCCTCTTTTCTGCTTTATGTTCCTTCTTAACACGTATCACTTCCTGAAATCATATTGTAGATTTCATTCCTTTATTACCAGAAGGTCAGCTCCATGAGGGCCAAGAATTATTTTGTTTATTGCTTTGTCCCCAGTGCCCAGCACAGGCGCTGCCATCAGGGAAATGCTGGTAAATATTTGTGGAAAGAGTAAATGAATCACCAGAAGAAATGCATCTCTCTCCTGATATATATAGCTGAGTAGCTGATTGTATCTTGCTGTCTTACACAGAGAAATGATTTTAAAAGTATGTTGAACAAGTGAATGAATGAATGAATGAATGAAATGCATTTGTCTCCCCACTGGTTGTAGGTGCTAATGTATGATGAATGAATGAATGAATGAATGATTGAATCTTAACGTGCCCCCCTCTTGTAAAATGCGTTATAAAGAAAGAAAGGAAAAGAGGGAGAGAGGGCAACGATGGGGTGCCTGCACACATTGGGATGTCTTCCCTCTTTCCCCCCCACGGCCCCCCAGAGGTGGTCCCAGCCTCCCTGCAAGCCCTCTGTCCTGCCAGCCCTCCCCTCTGTATCCCTGCAGGGCTGTGATGGCCCTGGCACCGCCTGACAGAGTCAGGGGAACAGTTCCTGCTGCGTGCAGGGAAGTCATAAGCTCCAGGAAATGAAGGCTTCGCCGCGGGGCCTCCTCCTCACCAATAACTCCAGCCTCATTACGACCAGCCCGGCCGTAATGTGGAGAATCAAAGTTGGATCCCCAGAGGCGGCAGCACAGCTCCCCGATTGCGGAGCAGGGCCACCTGTGTGGGGAGGGTCTGCCCACATCCCTTGGATCTGCCTCATGCCCAGGCTCCACAGAGCGGGCGAGGGGCAGGACAGGGGCACCGGGGATGCTCCAAGCAGGGTCACAGGTCCTCCTGATCTCCATCAGTTCAGGGTGGGGCCCGAGGGAAAGAGGGAACAGCGTGGCCAGGACTCTGCTGCTCCACTCTCCCCTGTGGGCTGCTGTTTCCTCCTTCTCGTTGCCCAGAAATGCAGCTTTAACCCCCTCACCATCACCCCCACCTTCCAACAGATGACTCTCTACCCCCAACCCCTTCCATAATGAAATTCCAGAGCCCATGCTGGGAAAGACCCCTGAAAAGTCAAGCATCTGCAAAATGGGTTTAAGACACCCGACTTTCTTGGTTGTGACTCATGTGAGTTAGTGTTAAAGGCGTGAGAATTGCCAGCTGTGGTCCTGGGTCACAGGAGCGGATCTGCATTTCTTCTGCCCTGAAGATTTCTGCCACTCCCTTTGTCCGTCCACAGGAGGACCTGGCTGGGGCCAGGTCAGTCCCTCCCAGATCCTCTGCCCAGCCACGCACCTCATGTGTTCAACCTAACTCCCCAAACTAGCCAGACGCCCCCAGCCTGCCTGCACGCTCCTCTGTTGAAATGCCCATCCCTTTCTTCCCACCTGCTCAGATGCCCCCTCCTCCAAGAATCAGCCCTGATTCCCTCCTGCCCAGCAGGTCTCAGGTTGCACCCCCTTTTATAGCCCTGATCACAAGCCACCCGGCATTTAGGTTGTTACTGGGGCTCTGGTCTCCCACTCCACTAAACTGTGCACTTGTGTATCTTTATCCCAGCATCCAGCCCCAATCTGGCACCCAGTCGAAGCTCAGCAGAGTTGAGTTCTTGAACTGAGCTGACCTGGGCTTGGGAAGAGGAGTGGGGATGGAGCCCCTCACCTCCACTCACTCTTCTCAGTGCCTGAAATTCCTCCATTAGAGCAGCATTACTGTCCCCTATAAACACCCACATCAAGCCATTATTCATCATTATGGCTTGAGTAGGAGTTAGTCCCTCAGATCCTTTCTTGCCGAGAGCAGGATCTGATGGAGGGAGGGAAGGAAATATGGATTATCTGGGGACGGCAGTGCCGGTCCAGGATGGGGGAGGAGATGTGTCTCTTGGACTCTGGGAAAGGAAGGTTTTTGGGGGGAATGTGGAGACACAGAGGCAAGCTCAGAGGGGTTGTGACCCTTCCCAAAGTCACACAGGGCACCTCCAAGCAAGGCCCTCTGGGACTCAGGTGCCCCAGCCCTGAGAGGGGGTGTAGGGGGACTAGCATGAGATCAGAGGGCCTTCCCCGGGCTCCTGTTCTGGATGGAATGACCTCTCTGTGCTTCTGTGGGAGGGCGGGAGTGGTAGGTGGAAGGCTGGGTGCTGGACTCTGCACCCAGGAGGCCTGGGTCCTGGGGGCTCTTGAAGATCCCTTCTAGAAGGGACTGCTGCTCCCTCTCTGGGGTGGGGGATTTCTAGGGGCTGAGCTGACCTGGGGAGATTGTCAGCCAGGGGCAAGGGACGCAGCTTATAAGGTCCCTGCTTCTGTGGGCTTGGGGGCTGGTGGAGGACCGCTCAGAAGGAGCTGGGTGAGGGGAGTGTGAGAAGGGGAGAGGTTGCTGAGAGAGGGTGGGAGAGAAGAGGTGTATGATGAGAGTTGAAAGGAAGAGTCTAGGGCAGGGGGCATGGGGGAGCTGGCAGGACTTTGACCCAAGAGGGCAGGGACTGCTGTGGGTCACTGTCGTGTGGTGTTTGTCCCACGCTGCACAGTGCCAGGCACACAATAGGTGTCTGATTAGTACCTAAAGGACAGAAGCTACACTCGACCTGCCCTGCCCCCACCTAGAGCCCCCTCTGATGTTTTCTTGTTTCTCTCGCAGGCTCCTGGTGGGGACGGCCCCCGGTCCTCGAGGGTTCCGCCAGGCCCCACCCAGCGCCCCTCTGCGCGGGGCCATGGCGCACACCAGCCTCGGGAGCTGCGGAGGCGCTGCCTGGTGACCCGGCGGCGGCGCGAGGGGCGCGC